TTCATAAGGGGAAACAGTTCTGGAAGGGGTTAATCTTAGAAGCAATTAATCTAGAATAAGTGTGTTTCTCCTCTGAAAGGCTTTTATTTTATTTTATTATTCATTATTTACTCTATTTGCAGTTTTTGCTGCCCACTTATGAAGATTCTCTGTACGGTTTCGGGTAAAATTTAAAACTATACGAAGAAAACACAAACATGTAATATAAAACAAAGTAAAACCAGCCACAGCAAACATAGTTTCTAAACATCTAAAAACATCTAAAAATTCCAATGGCAACAGGGCCTGTTATTCTCGTGTTGCTGGTTTGAGAAATTGTGGCTGAGAGAGGCTGTAATGCAACCTAGGATTAATATTGTAAATTTTGGGTTAAGCTGAAGCAATGAAAATGGTTTACATAGTCTGGTGCTGCTATATCGTTATCATTTTATTGATATGGGGGATGGGGGAGTGTGCTGTGTCAGTGTGAATAGTGAGGGGCCTTGCGCATCAACAGTCAGCATCTGGTCAGCTGACTGAGATGCCCACAAGTCACCTGATCCCCGTCTACCCCCGCTGCGGGCAGAGATATATTTCATTTCTATTTAAATTATAGCAATGATTTCTAAACGCACATCTCTCTATAAATGAACACAGGCAAATTTTATGCAAATGTCCCCTCTTTCCAGTGGCACTTTTTCTTTTTTGTGTGTGATGTGTGTGAGACCACTCTATGATCAGCTTCGCTAGGAAGATCAAATTCTTGTAATGCTTCCATGTCTTCTTCCATTTTGTAAATCAGCACCAGTTGAAATCATTCTACTGAAAACATACCAGGCCTTTGCTGCTGTGTTACTTCTGTTTCACCACTGCAGGTGTAAGAGCAAACAGCCAAGCCATGTTCTAAATAGATCTTGCAAGCTTTCCTTTAAGTTGCTTACGAATTTAAGATTTTGAAAGACCACCACCGCATGCCTTTGAATGATTTATAAGATGGTTACTTTTCAATACTGCAGACTGCAACCGTGAAGGCCAGTTTTGAAAGGAAAAAACTCATAACACGCCCAAAGCAGAGAAATAGCCCCAGGATGCTTCCAGGCTCTTGCTGTTTTGCGGGTAGGATTCAATCACAAATTCAGGTTGTACAATTAAAGTGGATTTAGCACTCTTGTGCAACAACAGCACCCCCACACCCCCACTCCAGCCATTGGACTTTTTGCTGTTGTGAAAAAGGCAGGAATATGCACTGTAAAGTGTAGGATAACAAGTGATTTCTACACCATCTAACCTCACCACAAACAAATAAGAATGAACAGTCATCAATAAACAGTCAGCGTCATAGGACCTCTCACATTTACAGCACATGACTTCCCTCAAAGATTCCTGGGCACTGTAGTTTTCCCTTCACAGAGCTACAATTCCCAGCACCCTTCGCAGGGCTGTCGTAAGCATATGCGGCGCCAGGGTGCAAATACCCCCCCCGGTTGCCCAGTCCCAGGCGTGCAGGAGGGCGGAGCCGGCCTGCTGCCTCAGTGTATTGCTGGCTCGGTCGCCCCCGAACTCATGGCGCAGATAGGCGGGCTCTTCCCCGGACTCAACTCTCTGGCCCTGGACTCTTGGCCTGGCACCCCTGAGAGCCCGGTGCCCGGGTGTCCCACACCCCTAGCACCTATGGGTAAGGTGGCCCTGACCCTTAGCAGACAACTAAAGGCAATTGCATCCAATCAAACAACCACCCACACCCATACACCATTTGGGAGCTACATTTAGCATTATATTGGCAGATTCTATAAGGCACTCTGCTCCTGGAATTTTAATATGATTGAGAATACCGGCAGATGAGGCTTCTCTCCTTGCTGCCCCGTGATGATATGAAAAGCCAAACCTCCAGCCAGTCTCCCTACTACACATTAAAGGCAGAGAAACCTGGATCGTGGGCAGTTTGGCAACCCTACAGGGGAATCACAAATGAGAAAAGAAGGCATTTTTTCAGCAAGGTATACCTCTGAAGGAAACTCCTTGCAGCTTCTTTGCTATATTGGTGGGGAGAGCATGAAGGGAAAGAGCTTAGGAAAAGAAGGAAGAGGGAGAGACCGTTGATGGAATGTTTGTATTCCTTGGTTGTATTACATCCGTATAGAGCCTCATAGGGGCTAGGGAAGGAGGGGTGCAAATGAGGTCATCCCAGAGAGCTCTTTGTTGTTGACAAATGAGCAGTGTTTGCAAGCCAAGCATTGCCTTGTGCTGTGGCATGGGAACTTGAAACTGCAATTTTGACTCCTAACAAAGGTGAATGGAATCATAGTGTGGATGAGACTGAGCCAGGGTATGAATCATACTGTATCAGTTGGCATCTGTTTGCCAGTTGTGGGCTGCAACAGTTACCTTGAGGCTACTACCCATCTGTTCCCACTTTTGCCGCATGACAAATCATTGTTTGGCACGTTTAGGTGAGTTTACACGTCTCCGGTGCAACAAGGCATGCACTCTGACTGCACCTTATTTTCTGCAGCCATACCTGTTTAAAAGATTCAGCACTTATTTTCTCCACCTCTGTACCTCCAGTTGTTGACACATATCTAACCGGTTTTTGGAGTTTGCTTTAGCTGTGGTTAGAAGAGATGCTCTGAGGGTTAAAGTTCTAAGATAGGTTCAGTATATGGAAGCTAAGCATGTATGCCACTCTCCCTTCAGCTTTATACCCAGAAATTCACTTCTGCAATCAGGGCCGGCCCATTCATGAGGCAAGGTGAGGCATTGGCCTTGGGGGGCAGGATTCACAGGGGCAGGAGATCCAGCCTCCAAGGAATGCATCACCCACTGCTTCTGCTGCTGCAGTAGCAATGGCTGTGGCATGCTCCTTGGAGGCTGGATCTGCCTCCTCTTCAGCAGCCTCTCACCAATGCCGCCGCTACAATAGCCTCTCAGTGAATAGGAAGCATCACTGTTCTCCTCCCACCCCTAGGGAGGAAATGGTGAGGGCTGTCCCCTGGGGTTTCCTGGGCACTGCATATGCCTGACATGATTCAGAAAAGCCCCCCCCCCCCCCCGGCAAAAAAAGGCCTTTGAATCCTACTTCAACCACTGGGTAAGGTTGATTTGATTCATCCCTTTGTTCCCAATGTAGATCTTCATTTCCCTCCTTCTTCCTGATGTAGAACTTTCCTCTGCCCTTCTTCCCTGGTGGGAGGCAGGCACCATTTTGTGATTCACCTCTGGTGCCAAAATGTCTCAGGCCAGCCCTGTCTGCAAGTTATGGTTGCATCTATCAAACATTTTGAACTTGAAAGTCTGCGCCCAGGCAATCAGACTCCATGCCAAGGAAACCTGAATGCTGCAGCCCAAATAAATTATGCAAAGTATGCTGCTGCTGCTGCTTTTTATTCATACCTTATACTGTATTCCTTATTGTTTTGTGTATTTTTCTGTTTTTGCAAGCCCTATGTAAATGCAAGGTGCACATGTTTATAGCCATAAGGCTATAAAGCCTGCTTTGTTGTTTTGAAGTGAAGGATGAGACTCTCAGGAAGTCTAGTCTTGTGCTCAGTAGCACATGCACACACCATCCCGACAGTAGCTTCAAGGGCCCTTGAACAAGAGAACTTGTGATCTAACATGAGTGCACTTTATGCTTTTATAAGCAAGAAGTATGTTGATTAGCTGCTTTAAAACCAGAGATTGCAGCCACTACCATAGAGGACTGCCAGCTGGCCAGAAAAGCAGCTCCCTGGCCTGCTCCTGCACCTTTAAGAGCAGCTTGATATGCCGGAATCATCAGGTGAAGCTTCATAGCGTGGGATATAATCACCCCGAACATGTACTGATCAAGCAGCAATTAATGGTACAGGAGCAGGAAGTTGTTAAACATTTGGCAGCCTGAGAACAGAGGTGCTCAGTTAACTGCTAGGGCAGAAAACAATGGGATGTCCTGGTGAAAAAGAGTCCAGGGCGCCTGTGCCTTTAATAGCCAAGTTGAAGATGGAATTTCAGCCAGTGTAGTTTGCGTGACAAGCTGCTTTTACAGAAATTGCGGCTTGTACACCACCACTCAAGAAGCAGGAGCTCTTTTTCAGTTGCCCACCCTAGACAATTTTTTTACCAGTATATCAGCCAACATTGTTCTCCATGGTGTGTGAATGCTATTTAATCTTCAAGCCATATATCTCTCTGGTTAAAGTAACATGTGTTTCAGGTTCCGAGAGGCTGGGGTCAAAGCCATACTTAGCTTTCCTTGGCAAGTGGAGGAAGCAGCAGAGTTTTCAAGAACCTGGAGATTTACAGAGTGAGCAGCTTGGTCATAGAGGTGGCAAATCACTGCAACAGTTGAGAAGCTGAAGGAATGTTTGCCCAGTCCATAATTCTCTCCCAAAGAATGTAGAGCTTCAGTTGACCCTGCCTGCCTCTGTTAAGATTCATAGCTGGAGGAAACAGTGTTATGTTCCTCCCTTGGTACATTTGTCACTCACGTTGTGGGATATGCTCTCTGCAGTATATACAATGCTGAGCCCTTCCAAAGCATTTCAGAATCTTCTCAGCTTATGCATGTGTTTAGCTTTCTTGATCTGAGTAGTTCCATATGTTTCCCTATTGGCTACCCCATGAATGAATGCAGGAATGTGACCTAATTTGCTTCAGTGTTTGTAGGGATGAGGCCTGTTGGGTTTTGTTTTTTAAAGAAACCGACAGTAAAAAATGACCCTGATTTTCCCTTTTCGGTAAGGTATGAAGCCAGGAAAAATTCTTGTAATATACTAAGGCATGAACAGGGAACCAGGTGTCATGGAATCATAGAATTGTAGAGTTAGAAGGGAACTGAGGGTCATCTGGTCCAAGCACCTGAATGCAGGAATCTGCGCCGAAACATCCATGACAGATAGCAGCAGTACCAAGATAGGTTCCCCTGTTGATCTTAACACCTGAGCAGGTGTTAGAGATTTGGGACCAACATCATTTAGGGCTTTATTGGTCCGTGTTAAACATTTTGAAGACAGAGGTCCTCTGGCTGGGTGGGAACGACATGGGGTTGGGGGGCCAATTCTCATCTCTTGCGGGGGCTCAATTGATGCCAGAGCCTTCCGTCAGGAGTTTGGGTGTAACCTTCGACGCCTCCCTCTCTATGGAGGTGCAGGTTGCAGCTACAGCAAAGGCGGCATTTTCCCACCTTCTTCGTGCTAAGCAGCTGGTCGCTTACCTTTCTCGCCCTGATCTGGCCACAGTGATCCATGCGATGGTCACCTCCAGGCTCGATTATTATAACTCGCTCTACGCGGGGCTGCCCTTGAAGCTGACCCAGAAACTCCAAAATGCTGCTGTGAGGCTCCTTACGGGGTCCTTGCCATGGGACCACATTCATCCAGTGCTATACCAGCTGCACCGGCTCCTGGTGGAGTACAGGAGCAGGTTTAAGGTGCTGGTTTTAACCTTTAAAACCCTATACGGCTTAGGACCCTCATACTTACGGGACCGCTTCTCCTGGTATGCCCCGCGGAGAACCTTACGGTCTGCAAATAATAATATCTTGGAGGTCCCGGGTCTCAAGGAGGTTAAACTGGCCTCAACCAGGGCCAAGGCCTTTTCGGCTTTGGCCCCAGCCTGGTGGAACACTCTATCGCAGGAGACCAGGGCCATGCAGGACTTGACATCTTTCCACAGGGCCTGCAAGATGGAGTTGTTCCATCTGGCTTTCGGTCCGGGTCCAGTTTCACCCCCCTCTATGGGACCCTGTAAGTTACCTCTTTGGCCCTTTTATCGGCTCATGTGGGACCAACATGGAGAGCTGGTTGATGAATACTTGAGGTTCCCGACCCCTATGGTTGTAATTCATGGGCAATCATTTAATTTTATCCTGATTCTAATTTTTAAGCTGTAGTTTAATCAATTGTTGATTGTGTTTTAATGTATTTGATATTTGATGTTAGCCGCCCTGAGCCCGGTCTTGGCCGAGGAAGGTGGGGTGTAAATAAAAACTTACTTACTTACTTTACTTACTTAACACCTTTCAGTGGGTTCAGTAGTGAATTGGCAACTGGTGTGGATCTTTCGAGACTGGTATAATATGTGTTTGCCCAGAAATGCCCATCAGCAGTTTTGCTGCTGCAAACTGCAGTACTAGTTGCATTTCCCAAACCATCTTTAAGGACACTCCAGGTAGAGTCCATTGCAATGATTCAATCTGGAAGTTACCAATCACTGTGGCCAAGCTATCCCTATCCAGGAAAGGCTGGCGGGCCAATCAAAGCTGAAAATAAGCACTCCCAGTCAGCCTTGCTCATCTTAATATCTGGACAGGTTAACACCTCTATGCCTCAAAGACATACATGGATCAAGGAGCATCCCCAAACTAAGCATCTGTTCCTTCCAGGGCACTATAGCCCTGCGCAGACCTGGCCTCCCTACCTCCCAAACTCAACAACCCATCAAATGTCTAGTTCCACTCTGACACACACATTTTGGCCAAAGGAAGCTACTTATCTTCTCCACTTATCTTCCTGCCAGGAACAGGTTCACCCAAACAATTTATGTGCTGCAGGTTGCTGTGTTCTTTACATAGTAAAAGCAAGGATCTCTGTTTTTCGATTACTGTGAGCAACTTCATTCGTTCACAAGGCCTTTATATATGTAAGAATATACAAGACCTGGGACCGACCCTGGGGATCGGTTTTGGTCTTGTTAGTCAATCAGCAATGTCTCAGACCTTTCAGTGATTGAGAGCCGTGTACATTCTGTCATGCTCTGAAACGGCACAAACGTTTTGTTGTTGCTGTTGTCGTCATGGCCTTGTGGGCTCGCTTGGCAGGTCTCGGGGAACTGGTGTTCTTTGTGATCCTCCGGCCCTTTGGCCCTGACACAATGCCCGTTGCTATGGAATGATGCTCGCTATCCAACAGGCAAGTAACCCAATCCTGCTGAATTTTAATTCAATGAATTCCAGTGATATCAGAGCTGGGAAGTTGATACACTTGAATACATGCTAATGGGGACTGAAAAGCTAATTAATTAATGACCGGAAGGGAGGAGGGAGAGGTAACAACCCCTAGAAACCTCTAGTTCTTCAGCACAACCTGTAGAGGCACAAGTAAGTCTTTCTTCAGGAAAGACAGTAATAGACAAGTTACTCCCCTCACCAAACTAATATTTGCCCCTCAAGGGGAAACAATGTATGTTTTCCCCTGCAGGCCAAATAGCAGCTTTGGGAAATGGGAGGGGGAAGTTGTTGTTTTTTTATCCTCTCCCCATGTTGTGGGCCCTATACAAATAGCCTCTCTCCTATGGTTGCTTACATATATGTGTGTGCTGCCACCAGAAATGGTGCTGCTTCTGGCAAACAACTGTCTCCTCACATTTCTAGCTGGGAAACCTCTGACTGAGACTTTGGAGAGCCAATCAGAATAGGTGACACTAGGCTGGATGGACCAGTGGTCTGATTAAGTGTAAGGCAGCTTTGCGTGTTCACATGTCCCCTTCTGACATGTCATCTCTGCCAGCCTTTCGCAGGTTGCTCTTTTCTCCTCTGGCTAGCATGACTGAATCTCGGCTTCTAGTAGCAGAATGGCAACTTGCACATCACCAAAAAAAGGAGATGCTTCATAGCACCCAAAAGGCCACAAATCTGCATAACATTTGCATATGCTAATTTATTTGTAGAGATGCACACTTGGAATTAATGACTATAACATAAATAGAAATGCAATACATCTCAGCACAGCGGGGGGAGACATGTGACTTGGGTGCCTGATCAGCCTGCTGTTATGGTGCAGATTGTTACTTCAAGACCCCCACTCTCTCTCCTTAGCGTTCTTTATCTTTAAATAGGATTTGGACCACATAGCCCTTCAAAAAGAGAGTGCCTTCTAATCTCTGGAAAGGAGGATATATGGCTCACTCTCCCTATGAGCCACCTGAGGAATTTACCATTCAACGCAGCTCTCTCACTGCCAGCCGACCTTTGGAACATGACACAGTCATGGTACTGGCAACACCTTGATGTGATTTTGTGTGTGTGTGTGCAATTAATTATCTGTCAGAGGCCCATAATTAAACAGTTGCTGATACTGTCCTTTAGAAAGAGACAGTATCAAGATTGTCAAGTGGCTAATTGCTCAGAAAGAAAGAGTGTTCAGGCCTAGTAAACAAGCCACCTTTCATGCCTTTGACATGCAGACGGCAGAACCTGGGACATTCTGGAGATGAAAAGGAGGCATTCAAATTCCTCCCAAGGTGAAGTGCCTCTTGGGCAGTGCAGTTGGCAGGACGTCAGCAAACCCCAGTGGAGAAAATAAAATTGCCAAAACTTCCGGGGTCAGCGCCAGCGGCTAATGGTGGAGCTCCTCTAAGCGGAGGAACCAGCTCCGTGAAAACTGGGTCGCCCGTCACGGCGAAGGCGGGGACCCGCTAGAAATCTCAGGTGGAGGAAGCCTGGGAACGTGGGGGTTCGGCAGGGCACCTGGAGCGCCCCCCTACTCGCGGGGAATCCCTTTTAAGGGCTCTGGAGCGAAGTCGGGTGAGCGGCGCGGTGCTGCGAACTGATTGCTACTTTCATGGAGTGAAGCCGCACAGCCATTGCCGGGGAGCGCTGACTTTTTTCCTGTGGACATTTGGATCTAAAGTAACTACCTGTGAGTAAAGTGAAGAAATTGGACTTTTAATAAGTTGAATTCGGCTACGAACGGGGGAGGCGTAAAACAGAAAGTCCGCCTTCCTCTTTTTGTAAATAGTGGGAAGCAAAGAGGTTTAAACTAAAGCCTGAAAGACTGCTTTTGACATCTAAATCTTCAGTATAAAAATAGCGAACCCCCCCTTGGCTGCAGGGGAAAAGGATAAATCTACAGGACCGGATGGACTGACTTCTAGATACTACAGAACTTTGAAAGAATGGTTAATACAACCATTAAAGAAAGTCTGTAATGAAATATTGGAAGGGAAAAGGGCACCTGAGTCGTGGAAAGAAGCATACATTACAATTCTACCAAAATCAGAGTCTGAAAAGACGCAACTTAAAAACTACCGTCCCATATCACTGCTTAATGTGGCTTATAAAATTTTTGCAGACATTTTGGCTAAAAGATTAAAAAAGGTCCTAGCAGAAGAAATTCATAAAGACCAAGCAGGCTTTCTCCCGGGCAGGCATTTGTCTGATAATACAAGGAATATAATTAATATTCTAGAAAAGCTACAAGTGAAGATTAATACTAAAGCAGTTTTGATTTTTGTGGACGCGGAGAAAGCCTTTGACAATATTTCTTGGAGTTTTATGAAGAAGAATTTATTGGGGATGGGGGTTGGTAAAGGTTTTGGAAATGGTATAGGTGCAATTTACTCAGAACAAAAGGCTAAATTAATTGTGAATAATGTAGTGACGGAAGAATTTAAGATTGAGAAAGGAACACGACAAGGTTGCCCAATCTCTCCATTGCTTTTTATTTCGGTCCTGGAGGTGCTGTTAAATATGATTAGAAGGGACCAATTGGTTAAAGGTATACAAGTGGGAGCTAAATAGTACAAACTGAAAGCATTTGCAGATGATTTAGTATTGACTTTACAGGAGCCAGAATCAAGTACGAAAAGAGTATTAGAATTGATTCAAGAATTTGGTCAGGTAGCAGGTTTTAAGTTGAATAAGACGAAAACTAAAGTTTTGGAGAAAAATCTAAATGAGATTGAGAGAGAGAAGTTCCAGAACGAGACAGGTCTGACATTGGTTAAGAAAGTGAAATATTTAGGGGTTAATATGACTGCTAAGAATGTGAATTTATTTAAGGATAATTATGAAAAATGTTGGACTGAAGTGAAAAAAGACTTAGAAATATGGTCAAATTTGAAGCTATTGTTGCTAGGCCAATTGCTGTGATAAAAATGAATGTATTGCCAAGAATGTTGTTTTGTTTCAAACACTGCAAATTTTGGACAAAATGGACTGTTTCAAGAAGTGGCAGAGAGATATCTCTAGATTTGTCTGGCAGGGCAAGAAGCCTCGTATAAAATTTAAGATATTAACTGATGCTAAAGAAAGAGGTGGATTTGCCCTGCCAGACTTAAAACTTTATTATGAATCAGCCGCTTTTTGTTGGCTGAGAGAATGGATGCTTCTTGAAAACATGGATGTTTTGGATTTGGAAGGTTTCAATAATGTATTTGGTTGGCATGCATATTTGTGGTATGATAAGGTCAAAGCACACAAAGCGTTTAAAAACCATATTGTAAGAAAAGCACTGTTTAATGTCTGGATAAGATATAAGGATTTGTTAGAAAATAAAACCCCAAGATGGCTGTCACCAATGGAAGCAAAGGCTCTGAAAAAACTCAATATGGAGGCCAAATGGCCGAAGTATTGGGAAATTTTGGAACAAGAGGGTGACAGATTAAAGTTACAGAGCTTTGAAAAATTAAAAACAGAGTACGAGATTGGCTCCATTATTATCAAATAATGGAGGCATATAATTTGGATAAAAAACTAGGTTTTCAGGTGGAAAAATCAAAGCTGGAAACAGAATTGCTAGACCCTAAAGTTAAGAATTTGTCAAGAATGTATAACTTGCTGTTGAAATGGAATACTCAAGATGAAATGGTGAAATCTGCTATGATTAAATGGGCACAAGATGTTGGACATAATATTATGATGGCTGACTGGGAACAGTTATGGAACACTGGTATGAAGTTTATGGCATGTAATATCTTAAAAGAGAATTTAATGAAAATGATTTACAGGTGGTACATAACACCAGTCAAGCTTGCAAAAATTTATCATTTGCCCGATAATAAATGTTGGAAATGTAATGAAACTGAAGGTACATTCTTTCACCTTTGGTGGACGTGCCCAAAGATTAAGGCATTCTGTGAGATGCTCTATAATGAAATGAAAAAGGTATTTAAATATACCTTTCTAAAGAAACCAGAGGCCTTTCTCCTGGGCATGGTAGGCCAATTGGTGCCAAAGAAGGATAGAGTTTTTTTCATGTATGCCACAACAGCAGCAAGAATACTTATCGCAAAGCACTGGAAGACACAAGATCTACCTACCAGGGAAGAATGGCAGATGAAGCTGATGGATTACATGGAACTGGCGGAAATGACTGGCAGAATCCGAGACCAGGGAGAAGAGTCGGTGGAAGAAGATTGGAAAAAATTTAAAGTATATTTACAGAAATATTGTAAAATTAATGAATGTTAGAAGGATGCTGGAAAGAAGTTATATGACTTTAGCAGAAATGTTATAAAGAATTAAGTATGAATAGATTGATAATGGGTAAAGGTGCAAAACTTAAGGTTAATTTGCGTTAAGATAAATTATGGAATTAAATTTGAGAAAGAGGGAAAGGATTTGCTGGAACAACTAATTGAACTAGAATACAAAAAAGGAGGTGTGAGGAAGTCGAGGAAATAAGCAAATGAAAGATAAGGACATGAAAATACGGGGTTTTTTTCTTTGGTTTTTTTCTTCTTTTTTTTCCTCCTTTTTATTTTTTAAAAGGTTTGTGGTTTTTTAAAATGTTTTTGGGTTTTTTTCCTTTTTTAATGTTTTGCTGTATTGTTGATGTTCTGTTTTATTGTATTTTCTTTTGTTTTTGAGGTTTTGTAACTGTTTACTGTTTGTATTTCTTTCTCTTCTGTAATTCTTAAACTCTAATAAATATCTTTTAAAAAGAAAAAAGAAAAAAGAAAATAAAATTGCCTCCCCGCTCTGGTGCTATATGGCTGTGTTGCGGCTCCTCAATCCCACACCATGGTGGTGATGATGCTCTTGGTTGTGTGACACCACTGTCACATGGCTACATAAATATTGCAGAGTCTTAAGGCATGTTTTACCTCAGCAAGTGCCACCCCCCCCCCCCAGCAGAGTCTAATGAATGCTGCTAGGAATGTAAAGTTCACTGCAGATACCCAGTGCTGGAACATTCTGCTGCAGTGTCCTTGAGTGCCCTCCTCCTACCCCGAGCCCTTCTTTCTAATGCTTTCTGCTTTTCTGGCTTAATCCATTTTATGCAATACTCCTTCCCTGTGTCTCTCTGCCTTGTCAACTCTCTCTGCTCAAGCTTATAATGTCTCCCTCTCTCCCTTAGCCCTGCCACATTGCCTCTACTTCTGCTTTGCTTCTAGAATAAGCTTTCTTGTATTTACCATAACATCACTGGGTGTCATTCCTCACCCCCCACCCCCACTCCATTAAGCACTTAAAAGCACAAGTATACACAGATCTCATCCAGAAGTAATTACCATTGAGTTCAATGTGACTAACTCCCAGGGAAGTATGCACAGCCTTGCAGTCCTGATAGACATGAACTTAGCAAACTGAGGGCAGTCCAGCCATTTGCGAACATGGTATCAATGGGGCAAAATGAATTGGGCATTAAAACGACTGGCTGCATCATCATAATCATAACTACCAGGTAATATTGGTTTGGTTGAATTATCTCACACATCAATTCCAAACCTCCCCTCTCCCCCTGCCCAGTGGGAATGAAAAATCAAATTGCAACACTGCGCTTTACATTTTCTCAAAGCAACATAGGGCCAAACTAGACGCAATGCAGTTTGGTCCTGTGCAGCTGTTTTTTCCTTAACCTTAGGAGAGAGGAGACCACAATGGGACCCTGGCAAGCAGGGCCGGATTTAGATGAAGAGGCACCCTAGGCTATTCCACTTGTGAGGCCCCATCCCCATCCCCCACCCTCACAACTAGAAGAAAATGGAAGAGTGTTATAAACAAAATTGAGGGAAGCCAAGGATGATGACGGGTATTTAAAATTCTGCAATTCACAATTTCTCCTCTAAAGGACATAAGATCTTATTGTTAAATACCATGGTGATTTTAAAAAATGCAAAAAAACACTGAAAAACTTTTGCAATAACTGAACTTTGTAAACTTTTGTGAAATAAGCATAGTTTTTTTTTAGGAAAATGAAATTGTAATGTTATTCTTAAAAAGCACACACCTTCAGTTTACAAATTATATTGCCTGGCAAGTGTAAATAATATGATCACGATTACCTGACAGTGTGGCACTTTTAGAATCTACTTTATGTTGTCATTAAAAAGTCGGTTTTAAAATCCATATTAAAAAGTAAACTACAACCATCAAATACAGTAAGGCTAAAATGTTTCCCCCCTAGCCTTCCTCATAGCAAAATCATCCAAAACTTCATCAAAATTTGTTTGTCTAAGTTTGTCATTTTCAGTGTAGGCCTGGTGTCAGGTTTAGCACTTCTCTGACACAAGGCACGGAATGCTGGCAGTTTTACTAGTTGAGGTTTATTTAGCAATAACAGGCTTTCAGCAGTCTGAGCTTCCACAACTCATTCGTCACTGTCGGAATCAGTTGACTCGACTAGCTTCCAGCCCCTCCCAAGGCCAGATACACGACACGTCATCCTCCAGCTCCTGCTGGTCTTCCTTTGTTTGCTTGCTCCACCTCTTACTTCTTGGAGACCCAGGACGCAGGCCTGGCGGGATGGTCTTCCTGTTATATACCTGCTGGGATTGACAAGGCATATGACCCTCACCTGAATCTCATAGCTCTCCTGACAGGTGATTTGGTCTGCAGCCACAGTGTGGAAATAAAGGAGGAGATTGCCCACCAGATACCAGGCACTCTACTATTCAAATTAGTCCCCAGTGTTTTTCATACAATCCCCTTCTCAATGAATTAATCAATTTTAATCTAGCATGTAAATTCTCAAAACTTTCTTTTTTGTTAAGTCGAGCAAGTAAACTACTGTTCTCACTTCATTACAAACAGTATTTCTACCTCACCATCATCATCTGCAACACACTTGAGCAAACCTGCTCCTCTTCCTTTCATAGATATTTTGTTTCCATTTGCAACTGCAGCTGCCTCTGATGAGTTATCATTTAACTCGGGGGGGGGGAATTAGCATCACACGTCATGTGCATGGAAGTTGCTGAATCAATTAATCAACTAGAAGGGTTACAGTTAATAGCACCAGTTTTCCTATAACTTGATATTGCTGGATATTTCTGATGAACTGCAAAAGCATTTTTAGTTTCCTTTCTGTTGCCACCCTGGAACTTTTCTTTATTGGTGCCACTTTGTTGGGTGGGGGGGTGATGGGTGGCAAAACTGATTTCCAATAAGTGCCCTCCCCTTTATTTCCATAACAAGTCCTTGAGTCTGTACTCTGAATAGGACCTGGAAGGTGCAGGGCTTGTCAGTCCAACCCCTGCACAGTCTCATCAGGGCTGACTATAAGGCAGTTGGAGCAATTTGGTCAAATTGGGCCCTGTGGACCACTCCTAAGCGTCTCCCCTCGCTCCAGCGCAACGTAGATGGATTTTATTTATATCTATAAGATTTTGCAGACTTTGGCTGTGAACTGGGGCCCTACAAAAAAAAAAAAAAATCAAGTTGGGCCCCACTGCTTCAAAATGGGCCCCACTGGCTAGCCCTGTGTCTCATAGTTGCTGGGCCCGAGTTGCCCTGCCCTTGCATTAAGTCTTGGGTTTGCAATTTTGGGAGGGGAGACTACCCAGTAGGGAATGGGCTGGCTGGCGAGGCCCCCTAAATTTAGAGGCCCCAGGTTCCAGCCTACTTAGCCTATGCATAAATCCAGCACTGCTGGCAAGCAGGAGGGCGGTTGTAACCCTTTATCCCTACTGCTCTTCGGATTGTAATCAATGCTCCTTCACCCACGTGCCTGCTAGTTGCAGGAGATGAAAGCCTTGGGTTCCCCCATACCAAACAACCTGGAGACACCAGGGATTGAACCTAGGACTTTCTGCATGCAAAATTATGTCTTTTCTTTACCACTGAGTCATAGCCTTTTCCTGAGATCCAGTCACATATTCTACACCCTACCTATGGTTTGGCCCATAGTATGTTGCTGATAGGAGACTCTTGAGAGTCCCATGGACTGCAAGAAGATCAAACCTCTCCATTCTTAAGGAAATCAGCCCTGAGTGCTCACTGGAAGGACAGATCGTGAAGCCAATACTTTGGCCACCTCATGAGAAGAGAAGACTCCCTGGAAAAGACCCTGATGTTGGGAAAGATGGAGGGCGCAAGGAGAAGGGGACGACAGAGGATGAGTTGGTTGGACAGTGTTCTCAAAGCTACCAGCATGAGTTTGACCAAACTGTGGGAGGATGTGGAAGACAGGAGTGCCTGGCATGCTCTGGTCCATGGGGTCATGAAGAGTCAGACACAACTAAACGACTAAACAACAACAACATGTTGCTGATAACCATTTAAGAGCATTCAGGCCAGCTCAAATCATTTGTGGGCTACGGTGGTTTGTCAAGTTGCCTTTAGTGAATGCGTTCCACATCTACTTGCCTGTTAGGGAACACCTATGTATGCCTCTTCCACAGAGCCCCAGGCATAGCTGAAGACTCTGGGGCACGTTGAGAGCACACACTCAGTCCATTGGAGTAAGGCCACACCATTGCCCTGTGTGAACCAGGACTGAGCTCTAGAGCGCCAATTGCAAGGGAAGATTGAGAGCAAAGTATTGTTTGGTGAGGTTTGCCTGCAAGTAATATATATTATCAAGGAACTTTGATAAGATTCTAAGGAACCCCAGGATTTTACTGAGCATCGCTTGCAAACTACTGACCTGTAAGGAAGGAAGCAGACTTCTTGACTGGCTCTGAGGGGTTCTTTGCTGTACAAAGAAGTCATCTTGTTTGAAACCAATGATATATTTAGCAAGGAGCATAGGAAGCTGTCTTATACTGACTAGATAAGGTTATTTGTCCATCTAGCCGCATATTGGCAGCAGCATCTCTGTAGGCTCCCAAGCAGAGGACCTCCTCATCACTTGCTATGACGTGATCTTTCTAACTTGAGATGCCAGAGATAGAGTGGCCAGTTACATATTGCCAAAAAAGAAGGCAAAAGAGGACCTGAATTTGCAGAATATGCATATTGTAATTTAGATGTTAATTTAGAAATAATCACTATAATTTAAACAGAAGTACAATGAAGATGCCAGGTGACTTGTGTGTGGATGGGCAACTTCAATGCTCTTGCTATCCCTTTATGATTCCTTATCTTTAAACTAGACTTGGATTAAATAGGACACCATCAAATCAAATAGGATACACAGCCACTCTGTGACCTGAATCTGAGGCCCCCTGTGTTCTACCACTGAGCTCTTTCTTCAGCCAGTCTAAAGCTAATCTCCTGACCAGCTACACGAAATTATTTCAGCTAAATTAAGCTGTAGTCCTAAACACACCTACTGAACTCAGAGGGACACAGAATAACTTCTTTGAGAACCAAACAAAGCCAAATGCAATGTTTTACTCTGCATTACTCAGAAAAGATTAGATCTTGGAAGGGGTGCTTTGTATTTTTTAAAAAAATGTTGGAAAGCTGGAAAGATGATAAAGCGAGAAAGATTGAATAAACCCAGTGTTCTCCAGAAGAAAAGACCTGGGGACATTAGATTAGATTCCAAATGTATAAAATATTGTAATAAAAGAGGCCAAAATCAATGTTTCACTATAACCACTAAAATGGGGACAGAAATGCAATAAGATTAGTCTCAGAACTGAAGATTTATTTTTTTAAAAAAGTTTTCTGAATATGCACTGTGTGCTCCAGCTGAGCTTGAATACTTTCCAGAAGAGCCATAAAACTTTCCTCCTTGGGCTGGCACTGGACAGCCAGGGTTAAGGAGGCATGGGTGAATTTTAATGGGACATTTTGTTTCTGTTCTGCCCCTGTTGTTTTATTATGGACTGTACTTATTACACACCCCAAGCCCCAGGAAAGGGGTGAGATAGAAACGGAATTAAAGAAATGATTTTTGGCATGGGTCATTGTAATCCTGCGCGTAGCACTCCCTTTTATACAAGTGCCTGGCTATCTAAACATCGGAATTATGAAACCCTTTTTGATTTAGAGAGTGGCTGGGCAGTGGAACAAGAAGTTAGTATAAGAGGTTGGGGGACCTACGTCAGTGGAAGGTTTTCAAAACAAACGAGTCAAAGATGATGTCATGAATGTTTCCAATCCAATTAATCCTCCTCGGTGTAGCATGAGCTGGGCCTTGAGTCACAGCGCAGCCTCGCCATTCAATGGCTTTTGAATCCCCGCCACTTAAAGCCACTCTGGCCATATTAAAATAACAGGACCAAGTTGCGACATCTGCGAAAAGCAACTGCCAAGAGGGCTTGCGTAGCCTCTGGTGCTGCCAAATGGTCACCACATTACAGTGCCATAGGAAGCTCATACATTTCGCTTCAGCTTGAACTGGTGCCTTCCTAGCCATGGTCAGTGAGATGCAAGCGCTTTTGTTTAGATGTCTGCAACAGATAGAGCGAGCAGATAGAGCAAAACTTCAGGTATGCTAAGTAGTCAGTCCATATGCACCAGTGTAATCTAGTTGGGGTGTGTGTATGTCTTAAAGAGAGAGAATCATAGAATCATAGAATAGAATCATAGAATCATAGAGTTGGAAGAGACCACAAGGGCCATCGAGTCCAACCCCCTGCCAAGCAGGAAACACCATCAGAGCACTCCTGACATATGGTTGTTAAGCCTCTGCTTAAAGACCTCCAAAGAAGGAGACTCCACCACACTCCTTGGCAGCAAATTCCACTGTTGAACAGCTCTTACTGTCAGGAAGTTCTTCCTAATGTTTAGGTGGAATCTTCTTTCTTGTAGTTTGGATCCATTGCTCCATGTCCGGAGCAGCAGAAAACAACCTTTCTCCCTCCTCTATGTGACATCCTTTTATATATTTGAACATGGCTATCATATCACCCCTTAACCTCCTCTTCTCCAGGCTAAACATGCCCAGCTCCCTTAGCCGTTCCTCATAAGGCATCGTTTCCAGGCCTTTGACCATTTTGGTTGCCCTCCTCTGGACACGTTCCAGTTCGTCAGTGTCCTTCTTGAACTGTGGTGCCCAGAACTGGACACAGTACTCCAGGTGAGGTCTGACCAGAGTAGAATACAGTGGCACTATTACTTCCCTTGATCTAGAGGCTATACTCCTATTGATGCAGCCCAGAATTGCATCGGCTTTTTTAGCTGCCGCGTCACACTGCTGGCTCATGTCAAGTTTGTGGTCAACCAAGACTCCTAGATCCTTTTCACATGTACCGCTCTCAAGCCAGGTGTCACCCATCTTGTATTTGTGCCTCTCATTTTTTTGCCCAAGTGCAATACTTTACATTTCTCCCTGTTAAAATTCATCTTGTTTGTTTTGGCCCAGTTCTCTAATCTGTCAAGGTCGTTTTGAAGTGTGATCCTGTCCTCTGGGGTGTTAGCCACCCCTCCCAGTTTGGTGTCATCTGCAAATTTGATCAGGATGCCCTTGAGTCCATCATCCAAGTCATTGATAAAGATGTTGAATAAGACCGGGCCCAAGACAGAACCCTGTGGCACCCCACTAGTCACTCTTCTCCAGGATGAAGAGGAACCATTGATGAGCACCCTTTGGGTTCGGTCAGTCAGCCAGTTACAAATCCACTGAGTGGTAGCATAGTCAAGACCGCATTTTACCAGCTTCTTTACAAGAATATCATGGGGCACCTTGTCAAATGCCTTGCTGAAATCAAGGTAGGCTACATCCACTGCGTTCCCTTCATCTACCAGGCTTGTAATTCTGTCAAAAAACAAGATCAGGTTAGTCTGACATGACTTATTTTTCAGAAATCCATGGTGACTATTGGTGATCACAGCATTCCTTTCTAGGTGCTCACAGACCGTTTGCTTAATGATCTGCTCCAGAATCTTCCCTGGTATTGATGTCAGACTGACTGGGCGGTAATTATTTGGGTCCTCTCTTTTCCCCTTTTTGAAAATAGGGACAACATTTGCCCTCCTCCAATCTGCCGGGACTTCGCCTGTTCTCCAGGAATTCTCAAAGATGACTGCCAGTGGTTCTGAGATCACATCTGCCAGTTCTTTTAATACTCTTGGATGCAGTTCATCTGGCCCTGGAGACTTGAATACATCTAAACTAGCCAAGTATTCTTGTACTATCTCCTTAGTTATTCTGGGCTGTGTTTCCTCTGCTGAATCATTTGCTCCAAATTCTTCAGGTCGGGCATTGTTTTCTTTATCGGAGAAGACTGAGGCAAAGAAGGCATTGAGGAGTTCAGCCCTTTCTGTGTCCCCTGTTTGCATTTCACCATCTTCTCCTCTGAGTGATCCCACTGTTTCTTTGTTCTTCCTTTTGCTATGAACATACCCATAAAAGCCTTTTTGTTGCTTTTAACCTCTCTAGCAAGCCTGAGTTCATTCTGTGCTTTAGCTTTTCTGACTTTGTGTCTACACGTGCTGGCTATTTGTTTGAATTCCTCTTTGGTGGTTTCCCCCCTTTTCCATTTTTTGTACACATCCTTTTTAATCTTAACTCAGTTAAAAGTTCTTTAGATAGCCACCCTGGCTTCTTTAGGCACCTTCCATGTTTCCGTCTCATTGGTATTGCCTGAAGTTGTGCTTTTACTATCTCCCTCTTAACAAACTCCCAGCCATCATGAACTCCCTTTCCTTTTAGTATTACTGTCCATGGGATCTCACCCAGCACTTCCCTAAGTTTTATGAAGTCGGCTTTCTTAAAGTCAAGAAATTGAGTCCTAGTATGCTTGGCTGCTCCTTTCTGCTGTATAGTAAACTTCAGAAGAGCATGATCACTCGTGCCTAATGATCCTTCCACTTCTACCCCACTAACCAGGTCATCAACATTGGTTAGGACCAGATCTAAAATGGCTGTTCCTCTTGTTGCTTCTCCCACTTTCTGGACAATGAAGTTGTCTGCAAGGCCAGTGAGGAATCTGTTTGACCTTATGCTCTTGGCTGAGTTTGACATCCAACAAATATCCGGGTAATTGAAGTCCCCCATTACTACTATCTCCCTTCCTTTTGCATGCTTGGCCATCTGTTCCAGGAAGGCATCATCTATGTCCTCCGTTTGGCTTGGGGATCTATAGTAAACTCCCACAATGAGGTCACTGTTATTCTTCTCTCCCTTAATTTTGACCCAAATGCTCTCACTTGGGCTTTGAGGTTCTAAATCTTGGATCTCTTCACAGGTATACACATCCCTGACATATAACGCCACTCCTCCTCCTTTCTTGTCTGGTCTGTTTCTCTGAAATAGATTGTATCCCTCCATTATTACATTCCAATCGTGGGACTTATCCCACCAGGTTTCAGTGATGCCTATTATGTCATATTTAGTTTCCTAAAGGATGGAGAGACCGCTTCCTCTTTTTTTTTTTACTGCCAGGCGATGCAATATCTTTCTAACTGATCCCTTGGCAACCTGGACTCCATTTGAATGGAGTTTATCTCATTGCTTTATAAAATGGGATGTCATTGGAGAGCTCCTTTGTTTCATCAAGAGCTAATGGAACAGACAACACCCCCGCCACACCCCCCCTCTGTACCGTTCCTCTACCACGCTTGCATACGGTCTTGCAATGTGTTATTGGCATGGCGCATCACAGATAAGGGATATTAAAGCAAGCCAAATCCTAGACAATATATTTACCTGAACGCAAGATCCTTAGCTACACGGAAAGGCTACAGAAATGGAGCCAGATGTCTGGCTGAACGGATTGCTGTTGGTGCTGCTGCTGTGGCCCTACTGTGTTCTGTGGGTTTAAAGGATGTGGCGACAAAATTCCTGACCATTATAGCTGGTGGAGATTTGAAGCATGCCTCAAGCAGAGTGAAGCTGGCGTCTGCAAATCAGCATATCAAAATACCTCCTCTAAAGACCACCATTCTTGCAACAAAGGGCAGTCTGGGTGCCACTGAACTGGTCTGCTAAACTGGGTCTACAGGATCAAGGTTGCAGGGTCTGGATGAAGTCAGGAAAGCAGGCCTAAAACAGCCAAGGAAGGAGTATGTGACAAAGTCCTAGCTTATATTGAACCTCAACCTGGGATTGGACATACATTGCGTGTTTGATCCTTGGGTTTTCGGTTTTAGTCACTTTTATATATTTTTTGTGCTTTTATACTGCTATTTTATTGGCTTAATTGTTTTTAGACTGTACACTGATTTGAGATTTTTGAAATATATATGCTTTCCAATAAATAAATAAATAAAGTAAAAGAAATAATCTACGCACCTACTCCACAACAGAATGGCACTCATCACGTACATCACATTCCCCAAACCAGAGGCATTCTCCCTCCCCACCCCATATAGTCATGTTTCCATTGCCACCAATAGGGCAATGGGCACCAATGGGCAATAGGGCAATGGGCAACACTGGGCAACAATTTTCCAACATGCTTGGATGTACCTTGATTTCCATGAACATGGCATAACACAGGAATGGGGCACCCTTTTCAGCTGAGGTCTACATTCCCTCATGGGCAACCTCAGAGCTCTAAGGTTCATGGCTAGGAGTACACCCCCCTGGACATATACTTTTTCAAGAGTGGGCCAGGCACAGTCTTTCACATGGTTGTCTTTCTCAGCCATGTGAGTGGGCAAGCAATCAGACATTCCTGCCAATAGGCTGGGTCTGCCTCCACTGGTGCAACGAGCATCCCATGAGTCAGGGGTAGGCTTGGCCCAAACTAGGCCCTTCTCCAGAGGCTGAAAGCACTTCACTGTCCAGAGGGGGAACCACAACTGGGGCAGGTGGCTCCTTGGTGTCAGGGATGTCAACTGGAATTGAGGCAGGGTTTTCTTCTGATAATCTACTCAGCCATTCCTCAGCATTTTGCTCAGAGTTTTCTAAACCACTGGACCCCTCCCTTCCCCTGGGTCAGCCTCCAGGTTCTCGTCCCATTCTTCCTTCTCCAGCCAGCCCTGCCAAGAGTTTTCAATGGGGCTCTGGACAGTATGTGTGTGGGGTGTGTGTGCACAACCACACTTGGCTCCTAGGCCACAGGTCCACTGCTCCTGGCCTTATATGTCCAAAAGGCTTGGGGTTTCCACCCCCAAATGGAGAGTAGAACGAATTCTTGTAATTCTAAGTTTCTTGCTCTGTCTTTTAGACGCCAGCCCTTAATTTAGGACAATGCACTGGTGAGGTGGCATTTTGCTTTTTATTCTTTTTCTAATATCATTGAACATGTATCTTGTTTTCCTCCCATATTCTTTGTTGTTATTTAAGAAGATTCCTAGGTTTTGCTTTGCGGATCTAGAAACTCTGGCCAGGTCCACAACCATCAAATGCTATAAATAATAGTTTTAAAGAAAGTAGATGGCGAGACTGGAATAAAAAAGGAAGGAATACATAGACCCAAACAAACTTACCTTCAGCCAGGTGGCTGTATAACAGCCTGCATACAGACATCTTTCACAAGATGCTATTTTGACTTTCTTAATCCAGTTGTTACCACCCTGGTTGCTCAAGCCGAGGAGAGCTAAACAAGTTTGTGAAAATTCAGCCAAATATTAAATCACCCTTCCCTCCCAGGCATCCTCCTGTCTCCTGAAACTATAGACAGTAATCCCCTCTGGAGTTAGGAGTGCTGTTTCTTCTCTATCCACAGTAGCTGCTGTTGACAGCAGTAATATACACACAGCAGAAAGGAGCATGCAGTTTGATTTTCTAGGAAATTGGGTTATTATGGCTGGCAAACTTGAGCACAGAGGCAATCTGAGAAACAGACACATCTGACAGGCCAATCATACAGCTAGATATCTATCTGCTTCGTATGATGCATTTGCTTTGGAAAAACCACTACACAGAATCAGTTTCCGTGGAGCTCTGGTACGTCTCCATTGAGCTTTGCAGACATGCCTCTGAGATGAAATCTAAGCACAGAGGTGTCAACAGGGAATTAAATTCACACACACACACACAGAAATATAAATACCTAAGCTTCAGTGGCAAATTTGTGGGTGTCGGCATATGAATCTCAATTATTAATAGAATTAGTTAAAGGTAAAGGTACCCCTGCCCGTTCGGGCCAGTCTTGCCAGACTCTAGGGTTGTGCGCTCATCTCACTCTAGAGGCCGGGAGCCAGCGCTGTCCGCAGACACTTCCGGGTCACGTGGCCAGCGTGACAAGCTGCATCTGTCAAGCCAGCGCAGCACACGGAATGCCGTTTACCTTCCCGCTGGTAAGCGGTCCCTATTTATCTACTTGCACCCGAAGGTGCTTTCAAACTGCTAGGTTGGCAGGCGCTGGGACCGAGCGACAGGAGCGCACCCCGCCGCGGGGATTTGAACCGCCGACCTTTCGATCGGCAAGTCCTAGGTGCTGAGGCTTTAACCCACAGCGCCACCCGCGTCCCACATTAATAGAATTAAGAATGAGTAAATGATTCTCTGAAGCTTTCAGCTGGCCGTGAGCCTGCATATGTGTGTGCTTTAATGTTATCTAATAGCTATTGTTTGTTTCCTAATTTTCCTTTTAGTTCTCGCTCATTGCTAAAAATAGATACTCCCCATCCCTGGGGAAAAAAACACACACACACACACCACTGCCTCCGATGTATTCATCAAAGCTGTGTCTCCACCCACTTGGTTATTCCCCCCCTCCCCTTTTGCTTCCACAAGCTGGAGTCACTGCTGCAGTCAGGAAATTATGTTTCAAAGCCAGCGAATGCTACTGAACTTTGCCAAAAACTGCTGAAGCAAGCAGGAAAAAGTACTGAATCTGAATGCACAGCGCAGGAGCTAGGGTGCCTCGTGATCAGGTGCATTCAGGGCAGGAACAGGACAGTGACGGAGAGATGATAAAGCTAAAATAGGCAGCAGCTGATGTTCAGTTCCCAGGAAAATGGATCAAAGCACCGTAAATTCTGTGAATGAGGGGTAGCCACCCAGAGTAGGCACCCATAGATTAGCCAGTCAAACAGTCTTGCTGCTTACAGAAGAGAAGATCCGATTGACAGAGGGTATGGAATCCAATATTTCAAGGTTATTTATTTTCCGTATTAGGAAATAATTCTAGCAGCATAAAATGCAGCATCTCCCTAATCACTGGAATTATTTGACAAATTTGTATGCTCAGCTGCCTTCATCAGGGCTAGGAATAGAAGGATCTGTCAATTTTTATTCTCTCAGGTTCTCATTTTTCCCTTCTTAAATTCGGTTCTCCCTGCAGCAATTTGCAGATTTTCTTTCTGAAAACCCTTCAGTATTCTTGGGTGAATTTCTCCTTATAAGCACATTTTTGTATATTGTTTTGACAAAAATATGCACAGTAATTTCCCTAATATAATACATTTCTGTATTGTTGCATGCCACCACAATCTACGAGCAACGCAAGATTCCAGAGGTTCCCGACTATTAAAGAGTGTAGGAGATCTGATTGTCCTTCTTTTGCTAGTTCATCTTGTTTTGTCCAAAGTAAAGGTAAAGGTAAATCTGAAGGGCCAATAACAGCTTCAGAAGGAAATTTTTAATGGGAAAGTGGAGAAGAAATTGTCATCTGGTGCTGTGACCTTGATCTGATTCAGAAGCTCCATAGCTTGTTTTAATTTTTAGGAAACCTGCAGGAGATCCAAGCAGCCACCTAGTTTAACCCTTGACCCCTCACCATAGAAAATTAGCATGTTAAGGAGAACGCTGCACTCATTCTCCCTGATATTTAATTTTTAATGCGGAGGAAATTTAAAAATAAATAAATAAATGGAGGAGCTGAGTCTGCTGAGTCTGCACCTGGGAGAAAGATTAGAGGGATTGTCTAGAGGCTATATTTACATGCATATGATCCCAGGCTTAATCCCAGGCACCTCCGGGTAGAGCTGGGAAGGGACCCCATCTGAAAAACTGGAGAGATGCTTCTGGTCATTGGAGAGACAAGTCTGGACTACATGGACCAATGGTCTGAGTTGGTACAAGGCAGCTTCCCATAATCCTAATATGGACACAGGCTCACTACTTCACTGAGAACGGGGGTTTATTGACAATGGAAGAGAGGGCCAGAGGCAACTTCCTTTCCAGCTTTGTTTTCATGACACGTTCCATTCTGTTCTTTGGAATCCATACAAAGCTCTTTGCACACAGCTAGGCATCCTATGTTTTGTCACCACTGCACTGCAGCCTCCCTTGTGAATGCAGCACCAGGTAGCTTTTTACTGTTTTCAGACGACGTCCATGATAGATATAAGCATCTCTCCATGGGCAACACTATCAGTTTGCTCCAGCTCACATCCTTGCCGTTATTTTTTGGCCCTGTTTAGAGATGCAAATCAGTTCAGATGCACGTTCTCTGGGGGAATAAAACAGAAAACTGTCTGGCAAGCTCAATTATAGCACAGGCCCTGTAGCTCAAGCTGCATGTGACTGCAGCAGGCCTGTTTGTTTAATCCTAGGTCTGCCCAAGTCACCTAAAAAAATGGAGGGTGAGGGGCTGGTTTTTTTAATAAGCAAAAGATCTGATTGTGTAGGATTTGTACAGGAGAGGCTAGAACGACACAGAATGGCAGCACAGAATTGACTGATGTTTGAATCAAGCTTCTCACTGGCTAACTCCACATCTACTCTTACCAGTATTGTAACTCCTGCCCCCCGGTCACAATATTCAGGGCAACTTTTGCTTTTGTGATAGTATCCACACAGGGCATATCTACACAGGGCCTGCTCTACCATTAGGCAGAGAGGTGAGTGCCTCAGGCACCACATGTTCTGGGGCAGCAGTAGCAGCCCCCAGCTTTTCCTTCTGAACCCTTCCCAGTCATTCCCCTGTGTTGCCACACAGCCGGTCCTGGACTCCCCCATCTGGGTTGTTACCTCAAGCATGGTGGAAGAGACAATCCCATCACCAGTTTTGAAGTAAGAGTCAACAGTCCAGTCAACTTGTTTATATAGAATGGAGAGGAGGCACCATCTTGTCCTTCACTTCTGACAACCTGAGTTAACTATTATTCCTTTCCCCATAGGGAACACTCAAAGCTGTTGTTCTGTGTGAAAAGGCCAGTGATCTCTAGCAGAGGAGTTTCAGCACGCTCATCACCAAACATGACTTGCTGAAGCCATGGCAATTCAGATGGCACAAACTTTCTGTAGACGTATCCTTTTGATATATCCACTCATGTTCAGTTACAGCTTCAAATTCTGCTTGACTTGGAATGGTATACACATCTGCTTACATTTTGCTTTCCACAATGGCCTGAGGGTGCTTTGATCAGCATTGGCTCTTATTTGCAAATAAAAGGTAGTACAGTGGTACCTCGGGTTAAGTACTTAATTCATTCTGGAGGTCCGTTCTTAACCTGAAACTGTTCTTAACCTGAAGCACCACTTTAGCTAATGGGGCCTCCTGCTGCTGCCATGCCGCCGGAGCATGATTTCTGTTCTCATCCTGAAGCAAAGTTCTTAACCCGAGGTACTATTTCTGGGTTAGTGGAGTCTGTAACCTGAAGCATATGTAACCTGAAGCGTATGTATCCTGAGGTACCACTGTACACTGTTGTCTCACCTTTGCATGGATGTAGGGACATGATTTGTGGGTGTACTGAAGTTGATAACAACTTTGATTATATGAAGTTCAGCTGCCAATCTTGCGTATTGTGTGTATTGATTAGCAGTGGCTCTCCAGGGTTTCTGGCAGTACTTGACCTAGCCTTTTCTGAAGACTAAACCTGGGACCTTCTGTGGAATGATACAGAAGATCATTGAAGGTGGGGGAAAGCCCTGATGCTACTTCTGGATTTGCAATATGGCACCACAGATCACCTACCTTTACTGACACAGTGCAAGGTGTTGCCACTGTTTGCACCTCCCACCCTTCTCCCCTATCTGCTGTAGGGCATGCACACACTGTGTGGTAATGTGCTGTACTGTATACACATCATCCCCATGTCATCCCTGTCCCACACTATTTGCCAATCTAAACCACATTCTGATGGAAGGGTTGTAATCCATTTTGGGCCAAGAATGCTCTTGCTTCATACAGGTGTACGCAAAGAGTTCTCTCCCATGTCACCTCCTGTGGGGCAGATCTATTGATGGGGCAGGGCTGTGCCACTGCCCCCCCCCATGATGAACTTTTCTATGAATGAAATAGGCAGAATAGGAAGCAATACAGTAACTTAACCTTGCCAACTCTTTATACCAATATATATCCTCTGTATATGTACACACACCACTTTCCAGTCCCTCTCTTTTGAAAAACTGCATTAAACAAAAACAAAAAAGGTATGTAGAAACACTAATTTAGGAGAGGGGAGTAGAGAACACTGTTGCACACTAGAATGAAAACATGCCCACCTGTCCATACAGACCACATGAACAGCAGCTGCCATTTTAGATGATGTTATTGTGCAAAGGTGTGTGCAGCTGCTAACCACTATGTACAAAAGTGCACTGTGAAAAAATGACCCCTGTGCATTTCAAAGGTGATGTGTGTACACAGCCATAGACCAGACGTATGGACTAGAAGATGCAGAAA